AAATCATCTAATTGATTCTGAGAAGTCCATTGTACTCCATATTTCCCTTCAGATGTCGAATTCTTCATAATCCAGTCAATCACTAGAAGGAAGAGGAATGGGGAGAGTAGACAGCCTTGTCTGACTCCGGTCCTTACTGGAAATGCATCTGTCAGCTGTCCTCCATGCACCACTTTGCACTGTAATCCATCGTATGAGTTTTGGATAATGTTGACGATCTTCTGAGGAACTCCATAGTGTCGAAGAAGTTTCCACAATGTTCTCCTATCCACGTTGTCAAACGCCTTCTCATAGTCGATGAAGTTGACGTATAGTGATGAGTTCCACTCAACTGATTGTTCAACGATGATCCGTAGTGTCGCAATCTGGTCTGTGCACGACCGATCCTTACGGAATCCAGCCTGATGATCCCTAAGTTCGGCGTCTACTGCGTCTTTCATCCGATTCAGCAGCACTCTGTTGAAAACTTTTCCTGGTACTGATAACAAACTGATGCCTCTGTAGTTCTCACATTGGCTCAGATCTCCTTTCTTTGGTATCTTGATGAGATATCCTTCTTTCCAGTCCGTTGGCACTTGTTCCTCTTCCCAAATCTTTTTGAATAGAAGGTGAAGCATGTTTGCAGTTATTTCAATGTCTGACTTCAGTGCTTCAGCTGGTATATTGTCAGGTCCTGCCGCCTTCCCACTTTTGATTTGTCTGATGGCCATCTTGACTTCTTCGATCGTTGGTGGAGTGACATCTATTGGAAGGTCAGTGTGGGCTGCTTCGATGTTCGGTGGATTCAATGGGGCTGGTCTATTCAGCAGTTCCTCAAAGTATTCTGCCCATCTTTTCCTCTGTTCCTGAATCTCAGTGATTGTCTTTCCTTCTTTGTCTTTGACTGGTCTCTCTGGTTTGCTATATCTCCCTGCCAATTTCTTCGTTGTGTCATATAGTTGTTTCATATTCCCTTCTCTTGCAGCTTTTTCCGCCGCCGTTGCTAGTTCTCCCATGTATTTCTGCTTGTCGGCTTTAATGCTTTTCTTCACTTCTCTGTTTGCTTCTGCGTAGTCTGCTTGTGCTTTGACTTTCTCTGCTCGTGTTCGGCTGTTGTTAATTGCTAGTTTCTTGTTCTTCCTTTCTTGAAGTTTGTCCAGGGTCCCCATAGAGATCCATTCCTTGTGATGGTGCTTCTTAGGACCAAGAACCTCCTGACACGTTGAAGTTAGTGCTTCTTTTATCCCTTTCCAGTTGTCCTCCAAAGTAGTTTCTTGTTCTTTCAGTAGATCCTGTAGAGCTTGGAACCTGTTGTTGAGAGTTATCTTGAATTCATGGAGCTTGTCAGTATCTCGAAGGAAGGCTGTATTAAACCTTTGTAGTGCTGTTTGTCCAGTTGTCCAGTCTTTCTTTAGCTTCAGTCTCATCTTGGCCACAACCAGGTGGTGATCTGAAGCTATGTCAGCTCCTCTCCGGGTTCTCACATCTTCCATTGATCTTCGGAATTTTTTGTTGATACAGATGTGATCAATCTGGTTCTCTGTGGTGTGGTCCGGTGAGATCCATGTAGCTGTGTGTATGCGTTTGTGTGGGAATATTGTGCCGCCTATAACCAATTTGTTGAAAGCACATAGGTTTGCAAGTCTCTCCCCATTTTCATTTCTCTCTCCTAGTCCATGTCGTCCAATTACATCTTCATATCCTGTGTTGTCCACTCCAACTTTAGCATTTAGATCTCCCATAAGGATGGTGAGGTCCTTTCGTGAGCACTTCTCCATAATTGATTGCAGCCTTTCATAGAACTGATCTTTATCATGGTCGTTGCTATCATTGGTGGGTGCATAACATTGGATAACATTCATTGTGATCCCTTGCTTCTTTGTTCTGAATGATGCTTTGATTATCCTGGGTCCATGAGATTCCCATCCCACAAGTGCATTTCGTGCTTCTCTGGACAGCATTAGAGCAACTCCCTGAGTGTGTGGCGCATTTTCCCCTTCGTGACCGGAGTACAGCAGCATCTCTCCTGTACCTAGCCTTTGTTGTCCAGTTTGTGTCCAATGGGTTTCGCTGATTCCGAGTACTGCCAAGTTGTATCTCCTCATTTCCATTGCTATTTGGCTGGTTTTTCCTGTCTCCCACATCGTCCGGACGTTCCATGTACCTATAAAGAGTGTTGCTCTGGTTGTTAGAAGGTACAAACCCTCCTTCTCTTAATTCAGTTTGGAAAAACTAACAGCATCAATATCCATCAAACAGTATAGCTTAAAGCCATTTACATTAGTATGCACCTGAAAAGTTAAGTTCTATACGTTTATTATGATTGATGAATATTGATATAGTACTTCCTCCAAAAGGCTTACACTTCAGTCTCTCAATTATTCTACATCATGCTGTATATTAGTCTTCGAAAGAAACCTTGAATTGTGTTTTAGTCAGAACACAGGTTCATCCATTGTAATTCAATTGAATATATCAATAAATATTAGTTATTGTTTTGTTAGTCCAATATTTCTTCCACTCTAACAGGTTGATAATCCATATCAAATTCAGTAGTAAAATACACCATAATCGTCAACATCTTTAATGTTGTTTAGTAAAATAAATTCTTCATTTTATGAGTCATCAAATCTATTTGATTATATTTCTTTTTTCTACATCATTTTACAATGTTGCAAGAATAATTCTTTTAAATAGGGCGTTAGTATTCCAAAACTCATGTTTTTTTGCTTATGAACTGAATGAGTTACTTCTCCACCCAATAATTTACAATTTGTTCACCACTCTGATGATTGTATATTATTTTCAAAGTTTTGTAGTGTAAAGTGTAAGAGTTTCTAACCTGGAGAGAAAAAAAAGATAGTTACCAAATTCATTTTGAAATTACATGAGTAACTAAATTGTATAAGCTATCTAATCAGTAACTAGTTGTTACATAAAGTGAATTGTATTTTACCTTTTGGTGAAAGCCTTTAATATGTCCTTAGGAAATAAGAAAAAGTAACTATTAAGAGGGAAATTACTTTCTTATTCAATTCAAACTCTTTTAAGGAAATTTAGAAGCTAGCTTGTCCTTATGCATAGTGGTATCACGCAAATTTTGTATATTTATAGAATATTTTTCATCAGGAACTGATGTCATTACAAACCACGAATCATAAGATAATTTTCGATAATGCAATGAGAAGACGAAGATTATCAGAACTATGTGATAATCTTCGTCTTCTCATTGCATTATCGAAATTTATCAAAGGGACTAATTGCTTTAAATTTCTCATAAGATAATTGTTTGAAACTTCTCATTAGCGGTTTGTTATCACTGACCTCACATTGAGTGGAATCCAAGGGTTTTAATTTTCTCAGAAAGCACATTACCTTTATATCATTGAGTTCAAAACCAACCGTCCAGAGATTAGATTCAGTCTTTTTCTGTTACTGATCGATGCTAGATTGATTACATAGGTTGGTTACTGTCTGTCATTTGTGACTTGATTGATTCTTTCACCTTGGTGAGAGGGGAGCTAGTCACTATTGAGCAGTCAGTCATCGTCAATATAAGATTTAGCACGGAATCTTTACTAAGTGAATTGGCTAGTTCATGGATAATTGAATGCCTGATTGCCTAAATAAAACAATATCAAGTAACCCAGTGTGAAATCCCCTACATTTTCTTTATGTAATCAAGGAAATCAGATTTTTCGTTATTTATTTCATAAAAAATCCGTAATAAAGGAAATTTATTCCTAATAAGTTGGACTAACCAGTGATAATTTCCCCTGTTTTTTTCTAAACAGTAAGTTGTGCTATCTAAATAGGCCTTACCTGTACTAGAGCATAACCGTACTTATTTAAGATACCAATTAATAAGTGTAATTATTCCATTATGTTTTAATTTTCAAGTAATTTTACCAACTATGCTAGAAGTTTTAGAGTAACCCACAGGTTTTCTGCATGAACTATGCGAATTGATAGATAAAACATTATATATACTAGTCCACATTTGAACTACGGAGACGAAGTAATTGTTGCCACACTAGCTGATAGTTTGTTTCTAAATTTCCGAACTAGTTAGTTTCATTTGCTATCTGTTGACCCATTTCATATTTAAACTCTACTTGGAAATCCTAGGAAATCAGATACCAGCCATAGATCTACTAATAGCTTTGATCAAATGATCCATTTTAATCAAACATTGTTGTTATTTGATCAGTATAACTATACACAGAATATCTAAAAATTATTTAGGAAGTAGACTGACATTTCCCATCAAGCAAAAACCCACTTCAATCCTTCATTGTTCAAAATTAATGTAACTCATCGGGTATGTTTATACACTTGGCTTTAAGCCACTTTTGCAATGTGAGAACCGCGGATATCTACCATTTGGCTGCCAAAATCGTAGTAGGTGGGTTGGATCTCTAATCTTAAATTGTGTAATTAAAAGTCAACTACTTTCTCCAATAAATCACCACTCCACCGAATTCCAATCATTACTTAAGAGAATATTTCCCAAATTTACTCCTCTATGTCCATTTTTATTTGTTGTAACTGTAATGATAAGCTGACAAATTATGGTTATCGCTACCATATACCGTAAATAAATGAAAACTTTTTGTTTCTTAAGTGTTCACTGAAGTGTATTCATTCAAACAAACCGGTTAAGTTATCGTTTGAAATCATAATAATGATTACAGAAACACTGTAAATTGATGTTATTGTTTAAATTGTTGTAATTCACCAAGTATTGGTTTATGTTCTTGGTTTTTCGTATTATAATGTATGAATTATTAATACCATTTAGCTACTTAACTCGAATTAAAGAGTGATGGTTCTCAGACTGAGACTGGTTACTTTTAACTTTTCATATATTGTATAATCATTTCTATTTATCTATTCAGGTGAACTTATAGGAAACCAGATGAGTTCTATTAATGAAACTGTTAGTTGTATCGGTTTAAACCATGCATACTTAATATACATACTCAACTTTCTTATCTTTTGTTTCCTACTTCATTTTTCAGGACTTGTTAAAATGGGAGTACACTGTGTGACAGGTAAAAAGGTAGCTGTTAAAATAGTCAATCGAGAGAAATTAAGTGATAGTGTTCTTCAAAAGGTAATTTGGTTTTCTAATTCATTGTTGTTGTTTTTTTAACATGAATAGGTTGAAAGAGAAATCGCTATCATGAAACTTATCGAACATCCTCATGTACTTGGATTATATGATGTTTACGAAAATAGACGACATTTGTATGTATTTCTGCATATATGTATGAATAATTGCCTTTTGTCTTTTCTTTTATAGATATCTTATTTTAGAACATGTGTCCGGTGGTGAATTATTTGACTATTTGGTCCGAAAAGGTCGTTTGGCACCAAAAGAAGCAAGAAGGTTTTTTAAACAGATTATATCTGCATTAGACTTTTGTCATAGTCATTGCATATGGTGAGTGATAGTCTCTCTCGATACCTTAATTTATTTCTATTGGTTGACAAGCCTTAAAAGAGATTTATATATATATATATATATATATATATATATATATATATATATATATATATATATATATATATATACTCACACCCATTACCAATCGTGGGGCGTATAGGCCACCCACCAGCATTGTCCATCCAACTCTGTCCTGGACAGTCCTTTCCAGTTGTTATTCATCCTTTTGATGTCTGCTCCCAATTCTCAGAGCAGTGTACCTTTTGATCTTCATATCTTCCGTTTCCCCTCATGATTTCCAGTTAGCACTTGCCTCTTGATGTAGTTTGATGACTTCCGCAATGTATGTCATATCCACTTCCATCGTCTTTTCCTAATTTCCTCTTTAGTTGGAAGCTGGTGTGTTCTTTCCCACAGTAGGCTGTTGCTGATGATATCTGGCGAACAACGGACACTGAGTATCTTGCGTAGAAAACTGTTTATAAATACCTGTACGTTTTTGATGATGTTTGTAGTAGTTCTAGAAGTGTCATCCCCATACCTTAGAACTGTGTTGAGGTTCTTATTGAAGGTTGTGACTTTGATGTTAGTTGAAAGTTGTTTAGATTTCCATATGCTTTTTCACTGCAGGGATGATGTTTTTGCTTTGTCGATCCTTGCCTTTACACCTGCATCAGATTCTCCTTGTTTGTCGACGATGCTTTCCAGATACGTGAAGGATTCCCCCTCTTCCAGAGCTTCTCCTTTAAGCGTGATTAGTCTCCTGGTCCTGCCAACAATGTGATTCCTCTGTAGTTTTCACACTTGCTAACATCTTTGTTTGGTATCTTGAAGAGATATCTTCCTTTCCAGTCTATCGGCACTTGTCTCTCCTCCTAAGTCTTCCTGAATAAAACGTGGAATATATATATATATATAATGGCCACCAAACAAATCAAGAATAAGAAAGCAGTAGGACCTGACAGCGTATCAACTGAAGCACTGAAGTCAGACATAGAAACAACTACAAACAGGCTCCACGTTCTTTTCAGGAAGATAGTTTCGTCTCCACTCTCTTTATCTGTTGCTCGATATAACTTATTTTTAAATAGAAATTAGGAACTTTCCGAACTGCATTGGAAATTCAGTGGTCTATTGAAAACTGTTAGTTCATCATTACTTTTTGGGATTGAGTCGTGAAATAACATGATGGCTCTGAATATTTGATGGCGTCCAAAAGAAACAAAATTCCCTCAATCATATTTGTTTTATGTTATGTAAACATTATATACGAATAATCTCAGCGGTTGAAATCTAAATAATTCCAACTTTTCACCAGTCATACTAATCCAAGTGTGGTGTGCTCTACTTATATCCATATAAGTAGTATATGGTGTGGGTCAGACATAGAATGTATTTTGGCAGAAGACCGATGAGGAAAGAACTGAAATGAAGCGCAATCGTTTGGAAAATGCATGAGCAGTGGAATTAGAGAAGAAACAGTGAAGATTGAAACAATTGGTTGTTAATTTGCAAATTGACTGTTCATTGTATGGTTTTCAGAATTTACTGAGATAGTCTGTAATTTTGCTTAAATACATTCGATTGTCCCCCAGTCGTGTTCTGTTCATTACAAAGCTTTTTGAGAGGAAGAAGCAGAATTGGTAATCCTGATTTCTATTACTTCTTTGAAGAAGCTCAGACCATTCTGGCGGCTGACATGTTGAAGTTATTTGAATTTCAATCGCTGATATTATTCAAATATAACATTTACATATGATGACTTCTGTTTGCTTGGCGTTTAAATTCTGTCAAACTATCCGTTCAATGTCGAGGAATCTTTACATATATCCTTTGTTTCAACCGAATAATTTCTTTGTATTCCTTTAAAAGTAATGAATAGGTAGAAGTATTTGTTTCTTATTTCATGAGATCGATTATTAGCTCATTTCCTTCTTTAAAATCAATAACTATAGTGTGAAATCTTACAATATTCTCTGGCAATCGAATTGACAGAAAACAATTTTCACTGTTTTGTGTTAACCAATAAAAGTCATCTATTACTAGTTGTCAATATCTTACTGTTGTCCCCTACACTCCTTTTGTTAGTATGTTTCAACTGTAATTTTCATTATGAAAATCAGAATGTTGAAACATTTTGTTTAGATGATTGCATTTGCTTTTTCCATTAGGCCGATGAATCGTTATTCGATAGATGATACTTTAAAAACTAATGAACTATTTGTTTCTAATTTATTTATTCATTATGTTTATTCATCTGTTGAAGTTTTGATGCAACTTTATATCTCATTAATGTTGGTTGTTTGAATCTCCCGATTAGGACTGCAATTGATGCAGTCTCTTTATGGCGTATGTACATTCTGTGCAAAATACCTCAATATTGCCATTAATCTATAGATATTTTAAGTGGATGTGAATGGTGGTTAGCAATGGAGTGTTAAATAATCCAAAACACGTGTCCTGGATTCCACCATTCATCTCTGCTTAAGATTTATATATATCATTATTTTTATTTTATGAAATAATATTTACTCGTTATTTTCGCTTATAATTTAATTAAAGTCATAGAGATTTAAAACCGGAAAATCTTTTACTTGATGATCAATTAAATATACGTGTCGCTGATTTTGGTATGGCATCATTACAACCTGAGGGTTCATTGTTAGAAACTAGTTGTGGGTAAGTGTATTCTTGAATTTTCTCTCCGTTTTCTTTATTTTTTTTAAAAAAGCCCTCATATTGTATTATTGTTAGTAATTCTTTATTATATAAGTAAGATGATTTTGTGAAGGTGACATTTGCTAACTTTTAAAAAAATTATTTAAAGGCAATTGTTTATGTCTGGTTTGAGATTCCAGAATTGTTTTTATTCATATTCTCTACATAGAATGGAATTTAGTAACTTGAAGATTTGGAACAAAGATGACACTTCTAGATAAATATAGTGTTTATTCAATAATCTACATCTTCAAATTCAATCACTTTATGTTATAAACCAATCTCCTTTTAATAATATTCACTGAATAATTATCTCATTCTCAATATGACTGATTTCCTACTTAGAACAAGAAGAATTTCTATCTAATTGTTTGAGATTAATGAACACATGGTTATTATTAAATTAATTAAAGATATGATCAACAATAATAATTTAGTTAAGATCATGAGTCAATTGAAGCTAGATTACCATGGAAAACCTGGAAGCACTGGACGGCCGTTTCGTCCTATTGTGGGACTCCTGGGTCCTGGGTTCAAGTCTCGCGGGGCGGGATCGCGTTACCCACTTAGCTACTGAGTCCTGACAGCCACTTGCTTGTGAATTGGGGTGAAGTTTAAATTCACTTAGTATTGCTTGGTTGAATCTTTCCATTGATGTTTAGGACTGAAATTGATCAGTCTCTTGTTAGCATATGTGCATGCTGTGCGTATTGCCTGGATATAGCCTAAATTCACAAGCATTATAAGCAAAGATGGATAGTGGCTAGCAGTGGAATCCAGGACGCGCGTTTCGTCCAATGTTATGAATGTCCAAATTTCTGTTCCACATCATTGATTGACCATTCTCTTCCTCAACATCATCATTACTATTATTATCAATATAATCTACTTGGTACTGTTTGGTTATTTTGTATATATGTATAGTTAATTATATTTTACATATTCACTGTACTTCCAGTGATCTCAAAGTATTTTTTTCCTATTTAAGATATGATAATTGGATGTTATTATCGACAAGCATTTGATCCATTTGTGATAGAAACAACTGCAACAATTTCACTTATATTTTTTTCGACATATTCTTTTATTACTAAATACCATTGTTACTGTCGATCCATTATTTTAGAAGTAGTAAGAGAAAAGGTATTCTGTCTTATTTCCATTTATAAGATATCTATATTTTCAACGCCATCAACGCTCTATTAGACTTAAAAGTTATTGTTAGGATGTCATTGTTTCCTGTAAAGTTGTGATTACTTACTTACTTACTTTCGCCTGCTACTCCCAATGGAGCATAGGCCGCCGACCAGCTTTCTCCAACCCACTCTGTCCTGGGCCTTCTTTTCTAGTTCTATCCAGTTCTTGTTCATTCTTCTCATATCTGTCTCTATTTCTCGGCGTAATGTGTTCTTTGGTCTTCCTCTTCTCCTTTGACCTTCAGGATTCCATGTGAGGGCTTGTCTTGTGACACAATTGGGTGATTTCCTCAAAGTGTGCCAAATCCACTTCCAGCGCTTCTTCCTGATTTCTTCCTCCGTTGGAATCTGATTTGTTGTCTCCCACAGTAACTTGATGCTGATAGTGTCTGGCCATCGGACCCGAAGTATCTTGCGTAGACAACTGTTGATAAACACTTGTGTCTTCTGGATAACAGCTTTCGTAGTTCTCCACGTCTTCGCCCCATACAGAAGAACTGTCTTGACATTTGTATTGAAAATTCTAACCTTGGTGTTGGTTGACAATTGTTTTGAGTTCCAGATGTTCTTCAGTTGCAGATATACTGCTCTTGCTTTGCCGATCCTCGCCCTCACATCTGCATCTGATCCACCGTGTTCATCAATGATGCTGCCCAGATATGTAAAGGTTTCCACATCCTCCAAAGCTTCTCCGTCAAGTGTAATTTGATTGGTGCATATTGTATTGTATCGGAGAGTCTTGCTTTTCCCTTTGTATATATTGAGACCTACTGCTGCTGAGGCTGCTGCTACACTGGTCGTTTTCTCCTGCATTTGTTGTTGCTTTTGTGATAGAAGAGCCAGATCATCCGCGAAGTCTAGATCGTGAAGCTGCATCCTGCCTGTTCACTGTATCCTGTGCATTCCTCCAGTCGTTGACGTCTTCATGATCCAGTCGATGACCAGGAGAAAGAGAAAGGGTGATAGTAAGCAACCTTGCCTAACACCGGACTTTACTTCAAACGAGTCGGTGAGTTGTCCTCCGTGGACGATTTGGAAATTTAGTCCATCATAGGAGTTCCGTATGATATTTACTATCTTCTCAGGCACGCCGTAGTGCCGAAGAAGCCTCCATAGTGTCGTCCTGTCCACGCTATCAAATGCCTTCTCGTAGTCGATGAAGTTGATGTAGAGTGATGAATTCCATTCGATTGATTGTTCCACAATGATACGTAGTGTTGCGATTTGATCTGTGCACGATCTATCCTTAGGAAATCCAGCTTGTTGATCTCGAAGTTGGGCGTCCACTGAATCCTTCATCCTGTTTAACAATACTCTGTTAAAGACTTTTCCTGGTATTGAGAGGAGGGTGATGCCCCTGTAGTTGTCGCACTTGCTGAGATAGTCTTTCTTTGGTATCTTGATCAGAAGTCCTTTTTTCCAGTCTGTTGGTACTTGTTCTTCGTCCCAAATCTTACTGAAGAGGATGTGTAGTATCTTGGCAGTTGCTGCTACATTTGCTTTCAGTGCCACTGCCGGGATGTTGTCTGGTTCCGCTGCTTTGCCACTCTTGATTTGTCTAATGGCCATGCTGATCTCTTCAATTGTTGGTGGGCCAACATCGATTAAGTGGTCTGTGGGTGCTGCTTCAATGTTGGGTGGGTTCAGTGGAGCTGATCGATTTAAGAGTTCTTTGAAGTGTTCTACCCACCTGTTTCGTTGTTCTTCAATGTCGGTGATTACTTTGCCTTCTTTGCTTTTCACTGGTTTTTCTGGTTTACGGTAATTTCCAGCAAGTTTCTTTGTTGTATCATACAGTTGTCTCATGTTTCCCTCTCTTGCAGCCTTTTCCGCTGTCATCGCTAAATCTTCCACATATTTACGTTTGTCGGTTCTGATGCTCCTCTTCACTTGCTTGTTTGCCTCTGTGTATTCGGCTTGTGCCTTGGCTTTTTCCGCTCTTGTTCGGCTGATATTGATTGCTGCCTTCTTGTTCCTTCTTTTTTCAATTTTATCCAGTGTACCAACAGTGATCCATTCCTTGTGATGGTGCTTCTTTGGCCCAGAACCTCCTGACATGTTGAAACGATTGCCTCCTTGATACCTTTCCAGTTGCTCTCCATGGTAGTTCCCTCTCCATTGAGTAGATCATGGAAGGCCTGGAACCTGTTGCTGAGGGCTATGTTGAATTCGTTGAGTTTGTCAGCATCTCGAAGAAAGGCCGTGTTGAAATTTGTGATGTTGTCCGCACCGTTGTCCAGTGCTTCTTGAGTTTTAGTTTCATCTTGGCGACCAGCAAATGATGATCGGATGCTATATCAGCTCCTCTTCTGGTTCTCACATCCTCCATCGTCCTCCTGAACTTTTTGTTGATGCAGATATGGTCGATTTGGTTCTGTGTAATGTGATCCGGTGAAATCCAAGTGGCTTTGTGTATGTTTTTGTGTGGGAATATGGTGCCACCTATGACCAGTTTATTGAAGGCACATAGGTTTGCAAATCCCTAACCATTTTCGTTCCTTCCTCCCAGTCCATGTTGTCCCATGACATCTTCGTATCCAGTGTTGTCCTTTCCAACCTTGGCATTGAAATCTCCCATCAGAATGGTCAGGTCCTTGGTTGGGCACTTCTCGAAGATCGACTGCAGCCTATCGTAGAATTGGTCTTTAGCGTCTTCACCGAAGTCGTTGGTAGGCGCATGAGATTCCCATCCAATAAGTGCATTTTGTGCTTTTATGGATAGCATCAGTGCCACTCCTTGTGTATGTGGAGCATTTTCTTCTTCATGACCGGATTATAACAGAAGTTCTCCTGAAGACAGTCGTCGTTGTTCAACCTGCGTCCAATGTGTTTCACCGATTCCAAGCACCACCAGGTTGTATTTTATCACTTCTGCAGCGATTTGGAAGGCTCTTCCGGTCTCCCACATTGTCCGGACATTCTATGTACCTATAAAAATTGTCGCTGTGGTTGTAAGAAGGTGCATCGGCCTCATGACTTCCGAAGGAGCTCGGCTTTCATCATGAGACGTTATAATTATTCCTTCTACTCCCAGGGCAGAGTTTAAATGGTTTGAATTATTTTTTCTGGTTAGCGTTTTTTAGCGAGTTGATTTTCTACAGGATGGGGTCGCTAACCCCATGCCCAACACTCCTCCTTTACCCGGGCTTGGGACCGGCAGTAACCCCCAGAGGAGCTACAGGCGGAGTTAAAGTTGTGATTGGTTAAACAGTATTTTTGCCCACCTTATTCAAGTGTTCCATAATGTCAGTCTTCATATCCCAGTTCTAGTAAATACATTTTACATTCCAATTGCTCCTTACTTTGCTAGATATTCTTAACTATTCAATTGTTATCTTTACTAGACGACAGTCATAACGAACTTGCTAATTAATTTTGTTGGCTTGAATTTTCATAGTATTCTTGCTTTCTTTTCACTGGTAACGGTGGATCAGGAGTGCGGTCAACTCAAACATTTGGTCAATAATTTATGAAATCATCTTAAAAATGAATATTGTTATTCTTATAACTAATGATTAAACTTTTAACTGTTTGAAATACTACTTTTGATGAAATAGGTGTTACGGAAGGACTTACTCATGTATCATGCAATTGAGTCTTATCATTTGTATTGTTATAAATTACCGTATTTTTCAAAAATTTGTTCAGAATAGGCTGAAAAACATAACATGTATACACATATATCACTAATTTGTATTTATTTGATTTTAAGTCCAGTAAACTGTTTAAGAGGCTCTTCAAATAAAATATATCCACTATTTTATA